GCGGTTACCCAACGCATTGCACTTAACATGTAGAATTCTGTTTGGTTGTGATTTTTACGTAAAAATGGTATAGCGGTGCAAGTATGCATAACTGGGCTATTAGCCAGCATCCTTATTTTCTATGATCTTTGTGTTGTGACAAAATGGTACTCTCGCTATATTGCAGTCTATCAATCTTTTCTCAACGATTTGAAAAGGTTTTTATAGTTTTTTGTTATTAGTCTGTTGTTAGTTTAATTTAGTGAAATCATAAAAAATAATCAATATTCTTTTAAAAAATTAACTGATATGAAAAATACATATAAGCGGTAGATACAGTGGAAATTATAAATAGAGAAGAGAAATTTTAGCATTCGTTGACTTTTCCCCTTTCGATTACACAGTGCAACACTCAAAAATTGATGGTAATGAGAACAATTGCATTCATTAAAAGAGGTCAAAATAAGAATAAATACCAAAGCATTTGTAACAGTTGGTTCCCATTTCCATAAACAAGTACAATGAGTTGTTTTGTTTCGCTCACAAATTTCATACCTACATAAGAATATACCAACGTATATATATACGCATATATATAAAAAAAAATTTCAGTTGAACATTGAGCTGTACCAAAAACTCCCCAAATCCCTTCCCCTTCCCGCTGCGTTAACTTTGGAAAATGTGTTTTTAAATTACACGTCCTCATTGGGAGCTTATTTCGTCGACTTCAAATTGAGATAAAAAAGCAATGGTAACCAACTTTTTCAAATCCTTTGGTACTTTTTTATTATTTGACCAGCTTAATCATTTGCTGTTGGTCCGATGCCCATCACCTCCAACTTTTTGAAATTTGGTGCACAGTGTTATTTAATATTCATCATTTTTTTTACAGAAGTACAACTCGTTTTCAAACGAAGGCCATGTAAGTGAAAATTCCTAACTTTGTACAAAATTTAGCAAAATTCGACAAAGTTCCATCAAACTTTTGAGCTTTTTAATTAGATTTTTTAGAAACATTCTGAGTATTGAGTTTTGTAGCCCATACAATTCAAACTGCAAATTTTAATTACCTAGGACTTACCGCTGATTTTTGGTTTTTTTGTTTTTGTTTTTTGTGGAAGGGGTTTTGTATTTCGGGCCATTGTGCGGCGTGGAAAATTACTACCACTCACTCCAAAAGTGGTGTGCTCCGCTGCTTGGGTCCCTAGCATTGGCCATGATTCGAGGTAGCGCCACGAAAGTAGTTGAAGCCTTTTTACATACACCAGGTGATTCGTAAAAGTCAGTCTCCTGTCTAAAATACTAAGCCGGACCTATATTGGATGATTAATTTTTGACGTTTTCTCATTTCTTCTCGTTTTTATTCTCCTTTCCTTTTTCACCTTTTTGTCCTTTATCTTTCTTTCCGTCTTCTGCTCGGCACTAGCACCGCATTATTGTGGGATGCTTCATACAAATTGTATGGCCGTGAGGATTTTTGGTAGTTCCTTGCCGCTTGACGAGCGAATTTAGGGATGCCAGTAACAATGCAATGCAATGCAGAATAAAAATATGGGTACCAAATGAAAGAGGAAATTTCTTTAAAAAAAAAAAAAAAATACAATTTTGTGGATTCACAAGATCGAATAGGTAATTTGTTAAGCTGATAAAGTTAGAAGGACAAAATTCGAGGATTTTATCGAGTTTTTATAAGTCCTTAACATAAATAATGCAAAATTTCAAAGAAAAAATTTTAAAAGGACATTTTCAATACTTACCGTCCTTATGCACCAAAAAATTTAATCTGTTTAAATTCTACAGAATTTTCTCTTTAATTTGGTACCTATACTTTTTCTCTAAGCACATTTCACTGAATTTTTTAAACCATTTTTGAATTACTGACGTCAGAGTGAAAAACTAACAACGCCGTTTTACTATATTTGGCCCATGGTATCGCATATATATTGATTTCTGTGTGTAAAATATGTATATTGAGCAAGACATTTATAAAAAAAATATTAATTATGAAATACAAAAAAAAAAGAAATATAGCCAACACTGGTCAAGAAAAAGAGTTTATAGTATTGCCATCAGTGCAATTTACAAATCCCGAAAATCCCGGGATTATTTTCCGAGAATCCCGGGATTTTCGGAACTTAAAAATTTCGGGATCCCGGGATTAACATTCCTAGTGTGCATGCACACTTACTGGTTTAATTCGGTTACAACTATGCCGCGACATTTAGACCGCGAAAGCTCATGAAGAGCGCGTCTGCGCCAACAGGTTTCTGGTTGACCGTGAAAATGTCAAAGCTTCAAAAGCAACGCACAATTGAACGTGTATACGAGTGAAAGGTGACGTACAGAAGAATAGTCAGACCAAAACAAAATGCACAATGCAAAAGTGAAATGTAAAAAGGAAACGAAAAAGCATTGATTCGGGTAGCGGGGTGATGTTGTTTAGATTTAATTAACAAACTAGCTAAAATGAGTAAATACTTGATTAAAACAGACGAAATTTAATAAACTGAAGCCACTGTCAGCATGTAAATAGGTACATATAGTTTTTTTTTTTTTATTAGGTACTGATTTCAACTAATTTTTTACGCTTAGCTTATTAAGATTGTGACTAAAAAATGGACATTTTGGATTCGTGAAGTATGTATTCGATTTCAGTTTGAGATTATGATTTTGAAGATTTCTTTGCCATTTTTGTACGTGCCATCGTACAGTGTGCCTGATGGAAAAGCTGGGTCGACAAAATTTTGTTCAGATTTCCAGACATAAAAGATATCTGCAAAGCTTTGACCGAACAATTATTGTATGTCTAATATTGCACTGTGAGGTGTGACAGTGTTTAGAAACGAACTTAGCTAATTAACTTACCACTGCAAAAAAACATGCTGCTACAAAACAAATATCTAAATTTTTGCGCATTTCTTGCGCACTTAAAATCTAATTTTGGTTGCACATTTTAACGCGCATAGTAGCAGAGTTATAGCAGTAGAGGAGGTGGGGATTACCTTTGCTTTATAGATGCACATCAAGTTAACCAAGCGCTTCATATGCCTGATATGAAAGAGAGAGATATGTAGGCAGGCCGATGAAGCGGTAGCGCGTGCGGTAACTCTTTTACCATTTATTAATTGGGGGACTCCATTGGAGGAGTCATGCTCTAGCTGCCGCAGCGATTAGCTGAATTTTGGGGCTTTGCTAGAATAGGGGGTAATTTTACAAGATTAAAATTCTTCGTAGAATTGCTAAAGGTGTTTAAACATGATAGATATGTCCACCTAAGGAAAGGTATAGCTTAGATTAAAATATTAGCTGCATAATGTTACTAAAGTTACTGAAAAGAAAATATTGTCCTGCTAGTCGTCGAAAATAGCATCGAAATGGCTAGCTGTACATTAGGGGAAAATCTGCAGAAGTATCTACGTGTTCGATGGTAAGAAGAAAAATAGCGAAAGAGAAATAAGTAGCGTTTTGTAGAAGCTCATAAACCGTGACTTCCCAAAATCGTCGTTCGTTCTTATAAATACATGGGGTTGTGACTGAAGCTATGACCATAGCGCACAGAGCGATATTTCTTTAATCTCGTTGGGCAAAGTTACTTAAAAAAATATGTTCTGTATTCTGCCATAGTTTTGTGACGAAAGAGTTTCTGTTAAATCATTATATTTGTACCATTCCATTAAACATAGTCCGAAAGGGTTCCTGCTTTACAGAAATTTGGAATCACCTAGGCCACAAATGGTTGGTAACAAATGATTTATTTACTCCAAGATTTTGTGGACGATGTCCTAAAATTTCCCAGCCAATTTTGTCGCCAAACAGTCTAATGAGAACCAATGAAAATATATCTCTGTTCTTAAGCGCAGCACAGTGTGATAGTTCAACAATCTAGGCGGATAAAATTATCAACTTATAAAAATATGCTCTGAATTCTACTCTTAACTAAGATCGCCGTAGATTACGAGAACGAACACAAGAAAATGCCAACGTATTACCACGAGCATCCACTTGCTATTAATGTTACTAATAACATCAGATACTCTGATCAACAGGGGATCTACTCTGTATTACGACTCGAACAGCAAATCGTTCGCATTCGAATAGTTGGCACTAGGAACTTCTATTAGTCCGTGTCACCTTTCGAATTGCAAAATAGAGTAGACTCCCAGTTTTTGAGAAGTTAATCAAAATAAGCCCGCGAAATTGTGTCCGCATCTTATTATTGCCCTTATTGGAGCAGGGCCTCTTCTGATACCAAGATTTCTCAAAAATTAAAACATATATATATGGCATACATATTTATTTCATCGGACAACGAATAAATATTAGAATAGGATTCGTTTCATGTGTAACATTTAATGATGAGATTATGGATAGAATTTGGTTTAAGCATTATAAGTAATTAGTTTAAGAGATATGTGTTGTTTCATGCAAAATAATTTAATACGTATTTTTAGTATGAAAAACCTTCAATTTTCTATGTAAAATAAAACTAATGTTACCTGGCAACTCTTTTGAGTTTCTCGCGCTTTGTTTTAATTCAAAATTCTCTTTATTTTTATATGGATGCTTAATTTATCAGTATGCATAACTAAATGAAAAAATTTCAATAAACCATTTTTATCACCAAGCTTGATCTACACGGCTCACTGTGCATCGGTTAGACCGTTTATTGTTGACAGCAAAGGTTTTGCATATAGGTATTTTTCAGCGCAATTTTAAATAAGCAACTTTTCACGCTTCAATTGCAACATAATGGAATATGATAAATGCTAAAAATTATGTTTGGACATTTTGGCCAACGACTTTAACCAACAAGATTTTATAAACAATGAACACGTTTTTCTTTTTCACATCACAGTGGGTGTCAAAGTAATTATGTTGAACACAAATTCGGGTTACACTTTAACAGAAGAGCATATTTAATGACGCACGTACATATGTTTATAATATAGTATATATGTCGGTATGTATGTACATATTTAGGTATGTACAATACGTTTTTATTTGGAAGTAAGTATCAGTACCTCGCCGTAAAGTTGTTTGCGTTTAAATGGCACCTTTGGCCTTAACGAACGACCGCAGGCATTTAACTGACGGCAATTTTTAACGTAACAACAGATAAGTTCACGTTTTGTGAAATCGAGAGTAAAAAGTGTGAACAACAAAGTAATTAAATACATATGTACATACATATCTGCAAGGTGGAGAAGCTACACAAATGGCAATTGTCTTACAAAAAGATGTGCATACATACACTTCCATGCACTTGAATAGGGACAATGCTTTTTTGCCTTTTTCTGGGTTATTTCTCTTTTATTTCATTTCTATCTTTTATTTAATTTCTATTAATTTTTAATTAAAATGCAGTTAATGCTCTAACAAAAACTAGATAAATAAATGCAGGTTTCAGACTTTGTAGAAAAAATTGCAAACTCTTTTTTCAGAATCAACTGTAATTTGTAGCTAACTTAAACTAGCACTACTAGAATAGGCTACAAAGTTTAATCAAAAAAATTCTGGGAAAAAGTTTACATTTTTGATGAAGTGGTCCCATACTAATTCGGTTTAGATCCGATCATACTACTAAATTTCTATATGAGAATTTTTATATTAGAAGTCGGTAGTGTTTTTTGCTTAGAAATTACACAGTTTGAAATTTGTATTTATATGTTTTATGTTAGAGAATAAATTGCATTTTAATTAAAAATGAATTGAAATCAAATAAAAGAGAAATAACCCAGAAAAACAGCCAAAAAAACATTGCCCCTATTCAAGCGTATGGCAGTGTACATACCTACTTGGTCCTAGCAAATGTTTTAGTACATGGTATTTGGCTAATAAAATTTAAACGTGTGAATATTTTTTCGAAATATTTTCCTATTTATAGCTTAAACCAATGGTTGAAAATTGTATAAAAGCATATCCTCTATTTGCCTTCCATCAGCGGCGAAGTCGATTGCGGTATGTACCCTATACAACGGGAAACTTTCCACTCAACACTTGAATGTCGAGTAGAGTCTAAGTAAATTTTTATGATGTACGACATACCGTCCCTGCTGACATTGAATTCCCGGGACGTGGTTTTCTGTTTGCGAAACGGATTCCGGACGATTTAGATTCTTCACGGTTTGTGGTCTTCGCACAGTGCGGATATGACCGGATTTTCCTCGGTCAATTATTCTACCGTCTCCTTACGTTACAATACATAAAATTTCAGTTGATTTTCAGTGACCACAACTTCCGAATTAATTCACCTTTCATTGCCGCATTCCATCATTGCAAACAACTTACATAGAAAACTTTAAACAAGGGAACCTTGCGTAAATGTCACTATTCAAATAGCCGTTAACTTAAAGTCTGCGAATCATAATAGTTATAGCGAACCTCCAACCCCTCCGCTATGGCTTAGGTCGAGGCCACGCAATGAGCGGCAAAGCGGCAAGCGGCTGAGCGGCGCCATACAAATCCCATCTATCACTTTCTGGTTTAAGAGATGAATCCCTCAGAACTATCTAGCTTGCAGGTAGGGAGCAGCAAGACTAAACACTTCCAGAACTGCGAAAGTAGAACGTATGCGCCCTATCTTGCAGGTTCGTTGCCTGGTATGTTTCAGTGCTAAGACACCTATACCAAGTGAGGTGCAAACTGCAACTCAAGTTCTTTGAGTGAGTTAGGCTACTCTGATCCTCATGTCCTCACATATTTTCACTACATTGAAGAGGTTAGTTATTTTTTAGACTGAACATATTCTCCTTATCAAGCTTATTAATTATATGACAAAATGTCCAAAAACGTAAATTTGTAAATTTTTAATTAATACTTTTTATTAATAGAAGTGCGATATGTCCGTAGCTCATTGTCTCGTCGCATGTTCGGCTTAGGAAATGCCAATAAGCTTCTTGTTCAGCGTTCATCGAGCGATAGGCAGCTATTGAGACCAGGAATCATAGAGAGTGACTGCGAGAAAATCGTTGGAAAAGAGTCTTCTTTAATATGTATTGTCTATTACCAATTTGTCAGAATGATATTTGTTAAAAGTTATTGTTTTTAATATACTATAGGTCTATTCTCTAAGTAATGCAAAACTCTTGTTTGGCGTATGGATTGCACATTTTGCGAAATTTTCCCATAGGAAAACCATTCCTGCCGCGCAAGACTTAGAGAATACCCCTTATATAAATATTTATCATGTGTTGCAAATTTAATTACCAATATGACTGACAATCAAGCATCAAATTTTCGGCTCGCGCCAAAAGCTGCATATATGTATTTATATATCATGCACTCAAAACCAACAGCACACACCTCCAGCTACGCCCAGCAAATATTTTTTGATTTTTGTTTTGCTCACCATTTTTATTCACATACAACATTAATTTAAACCAATCAATCTAAACGAATCTCACTGCTGTACAAATTAAAATTATGCAAATATGCGCTTTAAAATAAGCTTTAAAAAAAGGTCCATTGTAAAGGACAAATAATGCATTTTTCATTTTTCTTTTCGTCTGGTCGATCGACAGACTGAGTTTGTTTACATAAACACTTAATTAGGAAAAAATTCGCCACACTCAAACATAATGAGTTTAGAAACCTTGGCAAAATCATTTCATACTATTGTGACCGACTGAAGTTTTTTATTTTGCCAAAATATCTTGGTGGGTGCAGGTATTCAATATCAAATTACTTCAGAGCATAGCCAGTTGAGTGAAGGAGAAGTGAGAAGTATAAGAGTGCTACAGTAAATTAAAAGATTTGTTTCTTCGGTTAGTGCAGTGGTACAGTTTTTACATGCTGAACATTCAAAAATATGTTTTTTGTAGGAGAACCCTGTTGTGTTATATAACTGCTGCAAGCATGCAAGTACCAGAATGACCAATGAGTTATCCGCGGCGAGAGAAATTTGTTGAAAAATAGCTATGTAGATACTAAAATTCCTCTAGGTAGAGTAACCCGATTAGTCGGCCTCAGTATGTAGGAGGATGACAGGAAGAATCTCAGAAAAACCTGTCAGCTCAAGGGTCAGCCCAGTGAAGACGACGCCACAGGTCAAAAAATAATTTACACAGATAGCATTTAAATCTGTGACAAGAGTAAATATCATGTGGAACAATTCTTTAGAGATCGATTTTTAAGGAATTATTTTTCAGTATTTTCTCTATTTTTACTGTTAAGGCAGTGTCACACGATTCCACCCCAAATCCCGAAATACAATTTGTTCAAAATTTTCAATAGAAGTTCGCTGTAGTGAACCAATCGTGTGACTACAATAAAAAAATTTTCATTTTGTACCAATAGCCCAGTATAAAAAATGTAGAAATCTGCGCAAATGTAACAATCGTGTGACACTGTCTTTAGGGCGGTTTTAAACACTCACATATATTATTATTTGTAAGCCTTCTCAAACCTCTTTCTTTTGACAGCTTTTGATGATCGTACCAATTTACTTAAACTGCAATTTTCAAACAGTTGGAAACTCTCTAATTTTTTTCTTTCTATATCACTGGTCTACAAATTTCAACTTTTTTTCTGCGAATAAGACGGGACCTGGTGTTTCTGAACGGATTTTTCGTGCTGAACACGAATCCGGGGTCAAAAATGTCCCATCACGTCACGTTTTCGAGAAAAAA